ATGATACCAATATTCACACAAAGACATGATCCAAGGCCAGGGCTGAGAACAAATAAAGGGGAAAAGAAAAGCTAGGGTAAGAGAGGGGTCTAGAGGTTAGGACTAAATAGGACAAGTCCTAAAATAGTATGAGGAGGTTGGGATCAAAGAACAGAACAAATTGCTTGCAGACTTGCTTGAACATAAATAATTTTGGTTCTCCATAATTTATGTAGCTACTACTTTGGAGTCACAGATTTCTTCAAGGTACTTGCTGATGGAAAGCATTGCATACAAAGTTTTCAACATGCTTAAGCCAAAATAAAACTCTAGATGTTTTAAAACTATTCCAAACAATGCATTACTTCTTTAGATCACCTTGCTTAGATTCGCTGATCATCAGTATTATCCAGGCAATTTTTAATCCAGCAAATCTGACTTTTATACATAACCTTTTCAATATAAGTAATTGTGTTAGACAGACTGGTGCCTTTCTCATCTCAGTACATTTCTGTTCTAATAACATAGTCATTTTAACCTAAAAAGCTTGCCTTAGATTCATTCAGAAGACTCTGAGTGGGATTAAAAGAGCAAGAACGGCACCTTGTGTAATAGCCTTCTCATAAAATAATTCTTTGCCCCCTTGGGAAAATACACAAAACCAGGAAAAATGCAAGATCAGTGGGAGACTTTGAATCCCAGTTTCATTGTAATGCTTAAGTATAGTCCCAACTTGAGGTGACTCAGCTCAGTTTCAGGCCTTTTTTTCTTTCCCCTCCCACCCATTTCTCCACAGCTCAGTCACCTCAGCACTCAGAACAGTGGATGTAACCGCCCTTCATCTCATGATTATGGCCACCACATAAATGCTAAGCTTAGCCCTCTGATGCTGATCGCTCGATGAGGCAACATGGAGTGCCACAGACCCTCTTCGCTGCCTACGTGATCACACTCCTCCTCCCTTTACAGTTCCACAGTCCAAGACAACACAGGACTGAAAGGAGGAGCACCCTTTATAAGAGTTGAAAAATATCAATGGCCTGAATGTTGACAAGGAGTGAATATTGAGGTAGGTTCACTATCCTCAAAGCTAAGGAGGAATCAGGTGTGCTCTCAAGAAAAACATCTGCGCCAGCTGACCCTGAGCCATGCAGAAGCACCAGGAGGAAGCAGCGAGTGGGATACAGCAGTGGGTCCCACCTCAGGCGTCAGATACACCCAGCTGCCAACCCAACCTCCTCTACAAACAAGTTTTCTGCTTGCCAACTGAGAACTTATGAGTGAGGATTAAAGAGCAGGTGATATGGGTGACAAGGTAGTGAGTGTCTGCTCTTGGGTCCCCTGACCATGAGGCCTTCTGTGGGCAGCCAGAAGCAGCCTCCCATCTGCAGGCCCTGGTCCTCATGGGGCATTTTAACTCCCCCTGATGCCAGCTGGAGGGGCATAAGCAGCAGTGTGGCTGCTTGAAAGCACGGCTTGGCAGAATAGGACATGAGAGTCCTGGTGGACACTATGTTGAGCATGAGTCAACAATGTGCCTTTGCCACAAAAGAGACCAATGACATCCTGGGGGCTGCATCTGGAGTCCTGTCACCTGGTCCAAGGAAGTGTTCCTTCCCTGTTAATCAGCACTGGTGAGGCCACATCTGCTGCGTCCAGTTCTGGGCTCCTCAATACAAAAGGGACATGGACATACTGGAGACCATCCAATGAAGGGCCACAAAACAATGAAAGGACTGGAGCACCTCTCCTATGAGGAATGGCTGAGGCATGTGAACTGTTCAGCTCGGAGAAGATTCAGGGGAGATCTTATTAATGTATATAAATACCTGAACTGAAGGTGCATGCCAGGCTCTTCTCAGGGGTGCCCAGAACACAGGAGGTACCATCTGAAGACCAGGAAACACATTTTTACTTTGAAAGTGACTGAGGACTGGAACAGGTTTCCCAGAGAAGTTGTAGAGTCTGTATCCTTGGAGATACTCAAAATCCACGTATTCCAGGACAAACAGCTATAAGCAGCCATGCTTGAGCAGGTAGGTTGGACCCACCCTGGACCTTCAGAGATTCCTTCCAACCTCAGCCAATTGTGAATTTCCCTCTTTCCTTGAAGCCAGATATTGAAGCCAAACCAGATATTCCACTGGTTCCCTGATCACAGTCCCTACAATACTGATATTCTGCAGCTTTATGTGCCAAACGTGAAAATTTGTGTTATTTGCTGCCATTGGTTTTCCTTACGAAGGTTTTGAAAATAGGAGCTGCGTATTTTTTACAATTTATCGGTGAGACGAGAGAGTAAGGCTTTGTACTTTTAAGATCTTGAATTCGTCGATCGTTCTGCGAACATTTTGGAAGCACTAGTAAAGACCCAGACAGCTGACCAGCTTGTGCCATAAAACTCCAGCTAGAACCCACCACTGCTCCTGCTGCAAGGACAAGTACTACCAGTATTACAGCAGTATAATGTCACAAAACCACTTCAATTAAAATTTATAAATCCAATCCTCTTCAGAAACAGGCATGCTTATCTTCATAAACTGGTTCATGTACAAGAAATGAACGGTTTTTGTAGAAGATCCTTTTATTTTGAAAAAAATTTATTACTCACTGTTGTACAAAATATACCTAAAAATATGATGTTAAGATAATTTTGACACTGCTAGGTAGTTTGCAAATTACCTAGTTGAAGAGAAGAAATCACAATTTTTAAGGCGGTTCAAGACAGTAACAACAAGTGAATTATACATTTTAACATATTCCATTTGTAAGCTTTACACAAATGTTATCTGGTACTTGGTATCTGTAAACTTTAATGCTTTATACAAAGTTCCCATTCACATATTTAGAAGATACAATGAAAATAACATTCTACAATTCATTTTTTAAAGCATCTCATTTCTACTCTTCGTTTTACAGAAATAGCTGGTTCAATTCAGAACTTTAATTTTTCAAAGAGCCAAACAAGTAGAACTGATTTCAGATTTCTACTTTGTTTAAAAATGGACAAAAATTAAAGTAACTAATTATCTATGTTTGCTGAAATGTAAAAAAGAACAAAAACATTTTTAAGGCAAATTAGATTAGTAAAACATTACTCTGATTTAAATAATTTATTATTTTAATTCCAGGGTGGTAAGTTAGCAACCATCCACTTAAAACAGCCAATGCCAATTCAATTTCAGCTCATAAAAATTTGGTCTGTTCTTTTAGCACAGTATTACTATTATATTTCACGAGGAAAGAAACCATACTCCCAGAGGCTCCTCTAAACCACCCTCCAAGTAATTTTCAAAAGAGTGCAGTCTGTTATTTATCCTAGGTCCTTCTGAACCATAGGATTTTTATATAATTTAAAAAAACAAACAAACAAAAACACCAGTAAACATTAGGAGAGGAAGGGGGAGACATTAATATTACCTTAAAAAGTGTATAGCCAATAACTAAACATAAAGATGCAGGACATAAAGCAGTAAGATAGTCACCAGGGGACAGATCTTCACCTGGCATAAAGTCAGCATAGCTTCACTGGCATCAGCAGAGCAATCTTGACTTACATCAGTCACAGATCTGACTGTCCATGTACAGAAAAAATTGTTTATGTTAGTGATAAAGATGAGCAGTGTTCAGAAGAGTAGTGTTAGCACACATTCTTTGAATAAAGTAAGTTCATAACACTATGGTTTTCATCTAGTATTTTGCTGCTGATGACTGTCACTCTTGTCACTGGCAGTGTACCTAGTTCAGAATGAATTCATTACCACTTTCAAATGATGCACTAAAATACATTGAGCATTGGTCTACGAAGTTCTTAACCCCAGACAGTTCTTACCAGAAATACACTGAAGCCCATTTACAGTGTGAAGCATAAGGTTTTGAAAGTACTATTTTATAACACTGGTAAGTTTTTATATTACTATGGGTTTTCACTGACCATAATTTGTGTGGAATGAACTGCAACCACTGTAAGTCAGCAGCAACGGAGATTTAGAGCATCATGACTCTTGGCTGTTAGTAATTATTCCTTTTACAGATCATTAGCTATAGTAAATATTTAAAAATATCCCTAAGGCATATGTTTACAGAGCAAATCCTAAAAGCAGAATTAGAGCAACAGAAATAAGTAATTGCACAAGTTTCTCATAGGCACTGAGAAGGCACAAAAGAATTCTCAGAGTGCAGAGGACAAATTACTTAACCAGGAGTGCAAATATTAAAAAAAAAAAAAAAAAAGAAACATTTAAAATCTGGGAAGCAGAGGTAAAATTCCACCTGCTGCTTATGACAGCATTCAGGTCATCTGCCAATGGTACTTCAGACTTTTGTTTGTGTGTCTGTGTGTGTATATATATATATGTATATATAGTGTATATGTATGCTTAATCTAGTAAAATAAGAAATGGGATTCAGATGATTTCTGCCAGAGATGTTTGTAAATGCTCACCTCTACAACTACCACATATTACACTCAAAACAGACAGTTTATCCCAGTGTAATTTTGCACCTCAATAAAAAGATATTCTAAAACACATTATTAATGAATAATATGCTCAATCCATTTGAGCTGCATCTTCTGTCAAGTTCTACTTACAAAAAGAAACAGTTAATGAAGTCCATAACAGGGCAAATGGAAAGGTAGTCGTAGCTACACTGGACAAAACTCTCAGCAATGGTCATCATTTTTCTGCAATGATACTATGTCAAAACTCACAAGAAACTGAGGTACAAACTTAGGTGAAGTAAACATGAGATTTGTCTTGCGTTCATTTGAAATATGATAGTTACCTCTATTTTGTGATTTTTTTTTTAAATCTTTTATTTCTCTAAAAGAAAAATACATACTTGCATACAATGCTGATACCCTATGTGGTGATGCCATAAATCCCTTAGGATAGCAAGTTTGATGGGTGGTAACCCATTAGGAGAAAAATATATTTTTGAATATTATTTTACATATATACAATATATATATATTTAATTTTCAACCAAAATGCAAAGTTTTCTAATATATTTATGAGTATTCTTATGTCCAAAATGAAAAAATATTTTGTATCTCAGTTCATATAAGTTAAAAATTAACAAGGAATTTGATATCCACCAACAAAGTTCTTGTTTCATTTCTATAAAATTAAAAGAAAACAAAGAAACAGTGAGTTAAAAAGCTTTCCTTCTCCAAAGCCAAATATAGTAAAACTTTGAAGCTGAACAATTAATTAAAAGAACACCAAGTTTTGCATTTTAAGTAATCACAAAGAATGCAAAATGTAATCTAAGTAGGAACTAGCATTACTATATTAACCTAAAGGCAAAATATTCTGAGTCTCTTATTTTGATGGAATGTGTCCTGTATAAGAAAATGTAAATTTAAAGCAAGAGTTACTTACACTCTCACCAGTCTATATAAATTTTTATAAACCTCTTCCCCCGTCAATTCAAAAATACCTAATGTCACAAAAGTACGACAGCCACTTATTTACAGGGTTTTTTCAGCACTGTGAAAGGCACATTTATCTTTTTATGCATGTTTCTGCTAATGTCCTAAACTTGGGTTCCAACTGATCTAAGAAGTCAAGTGCCTCTTCCTCATGCTGATCACTGCAGCAGCCTACAGAGCCAGCCAAGGATCCTTTTCCTTCATAGTTATATGAAAGGAGATAATCTTCAGAATGCTTCTGTTCTTCATCCTGTCTGCATAGGTGCACCTTCTGGATAGGAAGAGAACATATCTTATTATTTTCTTAAATTGTTATCCTAAACATATTGCATAAAAATAATTTCTTTTTGATTTACCTTTCATTGATTAATTTTTAATCAGAGTGTGTCCTCTAATGGATTCCTACATACAAAAAATGCACATGATTGGTCTATATCATTAAGACTACAAAATATAAGTATTTAATAAAGAAATCATTTCTACTAGTCATGTATGTACAATAAAAGAGGAAGAACCTGTTTAAATAACCTGTCAAGCCACTAAAATCCACTCAAAATTAAACGACTGATTTACACATAACTAGTTAGGCAAGTAGTGAAGAGTTTTTTGATCTCCGAGGCATGGAATGACTGCATTTCTAATGCTGTACATTCATTCCTGCTCCATTGCTAAGGTAAGCATGAGGTTTAAATTAGTATAAAGCAAGCAGTTAGAATAAAAGCAAACACATTCCCAGAAAAACTCACAAAAGCTTCAGTAATTATTCTAAATTATTAAATATTCAAAATGAAAAATAGCACACTGCCTATAGTTTAAACCAAGAAAAGAAAGTATTTTAGAGTAATGTCTGAAATATGTCAAGGATGACTTCTTGAAAGGGTGGTATTCCAAAGGGGATGCAGATGAGCAAAGGAGAGGAAAAATTAAATGAAACCAAAACCAGAAAGCCACCTTTCTAGAACAATTACATCTCTTCCTTGAAAAGTCTGTATATATTGACCATAACCTACACTTCAAAAAATAAATCAGTTTCAGACTACTTACTTCGCCTAAACGAGGATGTGTGAAATTATGCCATTCTGAGTAGGAGTATCTACATGTGTCCATCATAGTCTGTCCTCCTCCTTCTTTAACTGATCCCAAAGTCTGGTGTCCACCTCCCTTGACTGATTCCAAGGTATGCCCTCTTCCTTTTACCACTTCAAATGTTTGCTGATCTCCTGTTTTCACTCCATACCCTCCTTGATCACATGTATTTTGTAGAGGAATTATATTGTGATCCTAACCAAAAAAAAAAAAAAAAAAGGCAATAGTGGGGATACATTTTCCTCCTTTTTTTTCAATTCAAAAGACAAAACAGCAATCAAAACCAGTCAAAACTGAAAATTAAGGAGTCTCCATCTCTGCACTGTGATATTTTGAATAAAAGACTATCCTTAGTACTTAGCAAAAAAGGTCAGTAAATCATCTTTGGAAGGATACAATGACAAGGGGGAAGAGGGAAAATCTGCATTTAAATATGAGATCCAATAACTGAGTTTTAATCCCAGTTAAATGTGCTACAATCCATATACTAGCTTATAATGGCACTACATTATGCTTCATAGGCAACAGGAAATTTGACACTTGTCACTGTTAGGGTTTCTTGGGTTTCGACATGAAGTAAACTACTGTTTTTAAACTCATCTCCTTTTCTTAGGGAGGACAATGTCAGGAGGTGGGGAACAACAGAAAAGAGGAAGAGTCTGAAGAGCTAAGTTCTTGTGTATGAACACAGTCCTTGACCGAACGATGCTCATGGCAGACTAAAATGCCAAAAAGTAAGAAAAAAATTTCATGAACGTGGACAGTTCATGAAATCAACTGTATTTGGGGTCATTTTTCAGGGGAAGGTCAGAAATTGTACCTGCAATTTACAACAGCTACCTTCTAAATTTAAAAATCCTTCTCCAAGGAAAAACAATAATGTTTTGCCATAAACAGTATTCAACATAAGCAAAACAGCAAGTTTCCATCTAATCTCATAGTGGAAAGTGACTGAATTAGTTGAAAGGTTCACCTGAAACTTCCAACCAAACACTTAAAATCTGGAAGAATTTAAGTTAGGCTAACAACTACAAGGTATGTTTAAATGTATAGTACTACCAAGTCTGCCTAAAGTAAGAATTTTCAAATTCTTGTTAAACGACAATGCGCATTTAATGATCCCTGCATTGACTGCTTAATTCCTTTACCAAATCACTCACTTGCATACGGTCCTGTTCTTAAATTGCAGTGCTTCGGACATCTTAATTACAAGCTTCTACATTGAAGCAAACAGACAACTTACCATCACTTCTTCACCTGGAGCTTCTGTGTTTGAAATGATTAAATTGTGATTGGCACAATCATCAGTCACCTGTCTGTGCATTACTCCACGGCCACAGCAGCCACAAATTGTGATCAGGATTACTATGGAAAGGAAATAATACTATAAACTTTACCTCATTATGGTATCTATTTACATTGCACAGTGAATTTTAAATCCCTAAGCATCAAAGCATTAATTATTTAAAAAATAATTAATTTCCAAAAATGCCCATATAAAAAGCTGTATATATACACATTTTTTTCAAAAAGTATATGGAGTTTTCACTGCCTTGTTGAACTATTTCCTTCTTCTAAAACACATCTTGGTTTCCCAAAAGAAACACAAGTATCCTTTATGAAAGCATTGTGACTTCACAATTTCAGAGTAACAAAAACTTTAGACCAAAAAAAAGTGAAAAATCATGTCTTATGCCTACAACAAGGTTGTACATAAGACATTTTTCATCTGTGAATATGCAGATGTCAAATTATATCATAAGGAACTAATATGCAAGCTAAAGGTCTCAATACCAGAAACTTCTGTTTCACACAAAAGGTCAGCAGAACCCTGGAGGGCCTCCAGCATTATGTTACAGAACAATCTTATTTAATTCCTTGCATTCATTTTATTCCTCCTATAATACTACTTTTTTTTGTCATGAAGACTCACCCAGAAATGACTTTGCATAAAAGAATCATGTACAACTAACACCTTTCATGCAGAGAACCATTCTTTTTTCTTCACTTTTCAAATTGTTAGCTTAAAAATAAAGAAGCCCAAAGGAACAGAACAGTTCTGCCTAACTGCCCACTGAGCAATCTGATGTCTGAAAGCAAAAATTTCTATGAAAACTGGCCAAGAGCCACTTTCAAGCTAATTTAGCTTCTGTAGCATCAGCTGTCAGCAAGATCTGCACCAGTGATTCTGGCAGTTTGCTTCCTGATGCTGACAGATGGGAAGAAGACATCCATGACAGCACTGAGTACAGGATACACAGGGTAAAACCTAGCCAACAAAATAAAGGATCCATTTAAAAGGGATGCAGTCAAGAGGCAATGACAGAAAGGTAGCTGACATTTCACACAGTTCCTCTACTGAGAGTTCCCACATCTGAAAATTCTACCTTCGGGCTATATCACAAATTTGGGTACCTGCCCTGTTGAGATAAAACATTGATCTATCTAGCTTTCACAACATGTCCAGGTCCCAGTCTTCTATCTACCTGAGTAAGAACAGTTTGCTGAGATTCAACAGGAGCAGGACAGTTTAATTACTACCAGAAAAGCACAGAGAAGAAAGAGGTAAAAAAAAAAAAAAAACAAACCAATGCAAACTCTGAAATACTAGTTACTGTAACATGTCCTCTGTGATTTTAAAGGATGTTATATCTGATTCTGGTAAAAAAAAAAAAATTATCTGGTTTTGCTTTTGCATATCACTGTCACTTTCTCACTGGTTAACAGCAATATTACCCTTCTCAGAATCTTTTAGGTTTTGGGCAACTCCAGTAGCACAACATATATTTAAGGTTTTAGTCTGCTTTGGAAGTATTCAACCTGTCCTTCAACATTTCTGCACGTGGGATGGGGCAACCCCGCATGTTCATACAGACTAGGCAATGAGAGGCTGGAAAGCAGTGCCACGGAAAGTGTTCTGGGGGTCCTGGTCGATGGCAAGTTGAATATGAGTCAGCAGTGCCCTGGCAGCCAGGAGGGCCAACCCTGTCCTGAGGGGCAGCAGGCAAAGCATCATCAGCCAGTCAAGGGAGGGGATTGTCCTGCTCTGCTCTGCACTGGTGCAGCCTCACCTTGAATATTGTGTGCAGTTTGGGGCACCACAATGTAAAAAAGATACAAAGCTATTAAAGAGTGTCCAAAGACAGCCTTGAGGGGAAGCTGTATGAGGAGAGACTGAGGTCATTTGGTCTGTTCAGCTTGGAGAAGAGGAGACTGAGGGGAGACCTCATCTCAGTCTACAACTTCCTTGTGAGGGGAATTGGAGGGGTAGGTAAGGATCTCTTCAATCTCATGACCAGTGACAGGACTTGAGAAAATCGCATGAAGCTGAATCAGGGGAAGTTTAGGCTGGATATCAGGAAAACGTTTTTCACCCAAAGGGTGGTTGAGCACTGGAACAGACTTCTCAAGGAAGTGGTCACAACACCAAGCCTGTCTTGAGTACAAGAAGCATTTGGAACTACACTCTCAGGAATATAGGAATTCTTGGGGTGTCCTATATAGGGCCTCAATGATCCTGACGGGTCCCTTCCAACTCAGCATATTCTATGATTCTATGATAATACGGGCTCTTGCAAAATCCTTTGTGAAATCCAATGTCTCAGATACTCCATGTTTTAATTCACAACACAAGAAAGATCACAAAATGCTCAAGGAAATTAATTTCAGCATTTCTAGAAACAGATATGTTTCTAGAACTCACAAACTTTGCTTAACCTGATAAGCACTATAATACCATCCTCTTCTGGTTCAAGTGCTGAATGCAGGTTTTTTGGTCTCAATAGCATGAACATACAGAACATCTTACACAAAATATACTTAAACGAATAAACAAAAAGCCACAGAGTAACTACAGCACAAGATGAGAGCAAGAAGCCTGTGATACTGACACAAATAGAGCAGGTACATTAAATCAGTGATGAGAGTTATACAATTGTCAAAATAAAAAATGTTTTAATTAAATTTGAATCAGTTTCTCTAAGTTGATTTAAAAAATTAAGTGGTTTGCATTTGGTGTTTAAAAAAAAAGTGTACTTACGCAGCAATAACAGCGATCCTAAGATCATTGCAAGGATGGCCCAGAGACCAAGAGTAACATTTCCACCAGGAAGCTGACGGCTCCTGCCATCGCATTCGGTTGGGGTAACACAATCACAGAAGTTAACTCTTACAGTGGACTCTCCTACCTTTCCTCCGTTATCCATCACACTTACAGGAATATCATAAATTCCAAATGGAATATCACCCTTTGGTGAAAGATATGCACAATTATCTGTGAAAAAAATGACAAAAGCAGATCTAGTGTCAACAATACCTGCAACTCAGTTGTCACAAATATGACCGTAACCACAATCTTCCCTTCTGTTGCAGCTATACTGCTACCAGATCCGCATTAGTTTAAAGCTAGATTAAATGTGGTGACAAAAAAACTACATCGTGGAAGGATTTATACTTTCAGCACCTTTTAACCTACAGCTAAATGAGGAGAAAAGTCTTAACGTACCGTTTTGTGCATTTATCTTCCACATGGAAGCCAAGTTACGGTCAGTTATGCGATACACAAAGGGCGTGCTGTAAGGAGCCTCATCATCATCCTGTGCAGTAAGGCAGATTGGTTCTCTGTCTCTGCACATTATATAGTCTGTTTGAGCGATTCGCGGGAAATTCTTGTTCCCAGGCACGATGCAAACCTGAATTGTTCCAGTGCCTGTTTTACCATCTGTGAGACAAAAATAACCAGTTTCAGCACTTACTTCTAACATTCGCATATTAATTTCTAGTCCAAACTTTCACAATAAAATATCATCAACTGTAATATCGAAGTTTAGAAGTAAGGTGGAAAGCAACTGCTGATTTAGCCAGAGAGAGGGCTCTCTCTTGGCTGCTTCTCTTTGCTTGGCTGGATGCAGATAAATCAACAGCTCCCAAATCTCCATATTCTGCACGTGCAGACAATGTATTTTGTTGACCATGTGTATCTCTGTGGGAATACACGGCGTTCTAACAGGAGGAATAGAGGCGGAAGAGCCCATAAACCAGGAGTAAAGGACACTAAGACAATCAGAGTAAAAAGCAAAAAGTGAAGATCTCCAGCCTTTTAACTTCTGGAAGGAGAAAATAAATTACACTTTCATTGCTCTCACCTCTTCTGGGAATACAAACACTTTAAGAAACAGTGGGGCTTCTTTCTGTCCTCTACCCTCTAATCACCATGCAGTAGCAGAGTTCATCAGTGGCACTGCCACCAAAATCTACGTGCAAAAATTGAATGAGCTCTTCCTCCTAATTACATTTTTTTCAATACACAAATGGTCAATGCATGTATATGCATTCCAGTGAAATTACATCAAGACTACTTTTTAATGCTTTCTCTAGAAACAACTGATTGCAGATTCATATATCATCTTTATAAACAACAGAAATTCTAAACAATTTAAATTCATATTATTTATATTTAATATGCAAACTGGGACATAGAATTTTTAGCTGCAATGTCAACAATTTCTTTTCAAAAAGTTTTCTCAACTTTCTCTGTTGACAAGTTCACAGCTGCCAGGTGCTATCACTTAAAAAACAACAGTCGAGGAATAGAAAAATACAATCCACAGGAAAATCTCTCAATTTAAAATTACTAGAGGATTTTAAATGGGGACAGATAACTTTCCAAAACACTGAGAATTTGCCCTGATTTTCTAAAGGCTTTCTCTGCTGTGTAATATTCCCTAAGCATTTGATGGAGCTATCCCAAAGACACAACAATGGACTAGGCGGGTCATTAGTCGGAACCACTACAGTTGTGCCCAAACTAAATTTGCTCATAAACATCTGTTACAGACCACAAAGAATGCCAACAACATTTAGTACTCACTTCTGTCTATTGCAAGGACTGTGATATTGCATTGGCCTCGTCTCATTTCTCCTACATCTCGGTCCAAGACTTTAACAGTTCTGACTTCACCCGATTTGTCATCAATGTTGATCCAATTACATTGTCCAGGTGGTATCCGGTACCTGTCAAGAATAATTTGTCTTGTTAAAGATCCCAAGCATACATACACACGCATATGTACAGACATAAATATTTAGATACATGTATTCATATACACCCTCACAGGTGTGCAGGTGCACACACATATATACAGCACCAACAACTTTTTCCCCTTTCCTGTATCCCACTCGTGCTGTACTCCAAAAAAACTAGTAGGTAAAGTTGTTTCATACCTTATGCCTTCACTATTTCCAGTTTCTGGATCTTCTGCTACATATCTCCCAATAGCCGTCCCAATATCTTCACATTCTTTAACATCTAAGCGCAACAGACATGGTTTAAACACTGGTCCCTCATCCACATCCAGGACGTGCACTGTAACAGAGCAGGTGCTCTGGGAAAGTTGTTGTGAATGTGGTGCCAGCAGATAGGGTGCCTCATTGTTGACTCCAATGACAAGGACCCTTTGCTTGGCACTTTCATAGTCCAGTCCCTGTAACAAAGGTGGGGTGTTGTTTTTTTTTCCTTCAAACAAATACAAAACTTGGTATTGCTTTCACTTCTGAATTATTAAATAGATAAAACCGTACCACACTTACAAAAGAAACCAGCTATCCTTCTTGAACATCCATTTTGAGACACAGTAAAGGGACACGATTTTTTGAAAAAAATGTTAAGTTCTAAGTTAGTCAAAGAAAAGAGCCTGAGGAAATACCCCTAATATGACAAGCAGCACCCCTGCCAAATTTTATATGAATATTCTGTTACTGAATTGCTAGTAGAACTGAGAAAACAATTAGATGTGGTGGGGTATTTTCCTCTTCCATATCTAGTTGGTCATTATTTTAGCTTACATACATTTCCTTTCCACCACTAGTCAATCACACTTCTTTCCAGTCCCTACAAATACATCTGAATCTATAGGGTTGACAGTAAGTAGCTACCATTTATTCTTCAGACCTACCATTTTTCTCCAAGGGTTTTAATAGAGCTAATTTTATCCTGAAGTCACAATACTCTCTACTCTACTACAGCATTACAATAAAGATAAGAAATTTCAACTGTCTTCATATACCAGGGACAGAGCTTAAGAAAAAGTTCTAATGATTACTGGTAAAAAACCCCATAATAAATAACTAAAAAAAATATTACTGGCATCTCTACCTCTATAACTTACATCTTCAAGTTTTAACATTAATATTCTCTGCTCCTGAGAAGTTACCTCTTACAGCAGTTTTAACAGATGATGAAAAAGAGGCATGAAAAGGCGAAGGGATGTGCTGGAGCACAGATGCCATGGATCTTTTACCTCACATCTGTAAAGTGCTGGGTATAACAAGTAACTAAACTAATACACAAAATAGCGCATGTGTACTCTCTCACACCCCAGAAAAGCAAACCAGAAGTCACTACACTGCAAAATAAAATCTGGAGAGTTTTATGCTGACATAATAAGTTTAATTCAACTCCAAGAGAGAACAAGACTGGAGAAGGTGCTCAACCTTCCCCTCCTTTGCCACTCTCCTGTCTCTGTTAAAAAAAACAGCCACGAAGCATTCCTCAAATTACATCCCTAAGTCTAAATAACAACTGTAGAACAAGGCAAAAGCACCAAGCTCTTCTGAAATGACAAACTAGAGGAAATTCCTTGGATTCTGAGCACACAAAATTGAGGAGTAGTCTGGAAGGTGAACTTTGCGGGTTATGTACCATACACAAGCCTCAATCGCTGGGTGTAATCTGCTCTAGAAGAGTGTTCAGCTCAGAAGTCTGATAAACCTTACAGTTACAGATATTCTTTGAATAAAAATGATTCCTATGTTATTAAAAGTAAAACCTGAAGAAACATAAATTTTCCCTCTAGCTTTTACTTACCTTGACAACACATAGTATTCCTTCGTTTGTGTTTTTGTCTGTTGTAATTTCAAAGGCCTGATCGTCATTTCCTCTTATAATTTCATACACTGCTCCTGAGCCAGGCGAACCAGGTTCATCAAGATCAACAACAGAGACTCTCAGTATTTCTACACTCACTCTGTTTTCCTCCACTCGCGTTTCATACTTGGAATATCAAAAAAAAAATAATAATTTAAATCAGAGAATACTGTTCCATGATGGAGAACTGAAGAACACCATATTCAAATAACACTACTTAAACCCAAGGGGTCAATTTACCAAAGTGCTGTAATGATTTGTTTTCTTTTCATGCATTATCGTATCTTCCCCACTCCTCCCTTACACCCTAGGTCAAACAGTAACCCTTTCCTGCTAGCACAGTTGAAATCTCAGCTTCTTCATACACTCAAACTGTCATTGACATAATTAATTCTAGAGTTCTTCTTCCAGGAAAGGTAAATTAGCACAGTTCCCCTCACTTACACAAGCTATAGATTCTAGTTTACATACAACATGATCAAGCTGAGAATTAGAAAGAGCATTGGGCAAATTAAAAAAAAAAATATATATATATATGCACACATATATATACACACACATATATATTTACACATATATACATACATATATATACACACACACACACACATATATATATATCCAAACTAACCACAAGAACTTGAAGAAAAGCCAAGAAGGATGAAATACATCTTCTCTACTTAGATGGCAAAGGATAAAAGGGTTTTTCTTATTTTTATCTTTTTAAAGAGCTTTGTTATTCTCTACGAGGTCCAGAAGAGCAAATAAGAGAAAAAATGTCAATTACTATTACTGATGATATTCTACAGTAGTGAAGGCAAAAGGTAAAGTACATGTATTCCTCAGGAATAATGAATTATTTTTCATAAATTTCATATTACAAAATCTCCTGTGGTATTTGAGCTATGTACATGGTTTTTGAGACATACTCTCTGTCCTGAATCATACAGATGGCAGGAATAAGCAAAGCCATAAGGTTGAGTTATAGCTATTAGTGAACAAGAAGTGGCTTAAATACTCCTGTAGAACAAAAAAAATACGTTGGAAAATCACAGGAATCTCAGTGAAAATCCTTGCATCTACTTCACTGACAAGTGCATTTTCATTTGCAACACAGAAGTAGCCAAAAGCTGGTCAAATGGTAATTGAGTCATGACAATGCTTAGGAGTGAATCTGTTTTTCCCCCACAAAAAAATGGTTAAATTATGGGATTTCTAAAACCATGCACTGCAGGAGAAGTGAATGAAAGTCACATCTGCTTTCTCCCAATATGCATGAGGTAAATGACTCAAAACAACTCATATACCAATAGGTCTAATTACCAAACAGCACGACAACCAACAGGGGATTCTGAAACATCTATATTGGCATTAACTGTCTTAGGGCATTAGGCTTCATCTGAAGGACAGTCCATCAGGAAATTAGAAAGGGGATGAAAATAGTCCTTTTTTTTTTAATCATTATACTGACAATTCATTTATGCACTTACTTGTATCTGTTTAAAGGATGGTGCATTGTCATTCGTATCTTCGATTTTTACAACCACTGTTCCTGTAGTGCACAAACCAAAAGGTTGACCTGCCATATCTCTCACTTCAACTAACAAAGTGTAACTGGGAACAAGCTGAAAAGAAAAATAAAAGCATACAGAAGTTTGACATGCTCACTTTTTTAATCGCATAGTTACATACAAGAGTAGAACTAAATATTTCACCCCTGCTCCACAACTCTGCTCTTAATTCAGCACTCCCCAACAAAATAAGGCAATTAGCTTCAGGGCCTTCTACCATATAGTTCCAAAAGGAAAAGCAGCAAAATACTTTTCAGTGGCTAAGCAGCACTGAGTTCAGTACCTGTGGGCAACATGCAGGATATATCCTGTATCAAATAAAGCTTCTCACAATGTCAGCATTATTTTCCAAAACCTGAAGTTTTGGAAAATACAGATGAGGCACCTTCACCTGCTATTTATGTCTCTCCTTTGAAGCAACAGAGTATTCCCTTAGGTTGCCAGGAGGTAAAGCATTTCAGTGTATGCCCCTTGTTTCACTAAGGATGAACAAAAACAGTGCTGCAATCAAGCCTCTGTTTGGACTATACATGATAAGGCAACGCCTGCCATTTGGCATTTGGCATTGAAGGAGTCAGTGTCCTTATCAGTTCCAAGGGGCTCTCTGATAAGCAGCTCACTTAAATCACTGACTTGAGTCAACAAGTCAACAGTAGAAAGCTTTTTTTAGCCTTACTAGTACCTGAACAATCACAGAAAAGAGGACCGGGGAGGGGAAATGGTGCAGGCAGAGGAGCAGGGGACAGGACACAACACAGTAAAATAGATGAGGCACAAAATGAGGGAGTTTGTAAATCAAGACAGTAACTCCAGTTCTGAACGCCTGGAAGCACCATTCATTTTCTCTGGTGCAGGAAAGAAATCTCCTGTTCAATTTCATAAGTTTATCTTTAAAAGATATGGAGTGGACTAATTTTTCAATCCTCCCTTCCTTCCCTCAATTAGTCACTGTGACAGCTTCTTTAGTAGTCACAGTGATGCTTCTGATCACTGCATTTTTCTCTTGTTAAAAAAGTTGAGTACTGTACCTGCAAGTGCAAATTTTGCAACATGCTGTTTATGTGGATTTTTAGCCATGAAACAAAACAACATAAATATATCATAAAGTAACTCTTTTTATCTTCAGAAAAGATGTGCCTGTAGCAATGTTCTTTTCTAGAATGACTGTCTTATGCAAGAAATATTATTTTGAATTACACGCGCCTGTCAGTTTTTTCTAGTGTAAAAAAATCTCTCACGTGACATTCTATAAAAAAAAAAATCCTGTATCTTATTTGCTCAAAAGCTAGTTGATAAGAATAAATGGCTGGCACCCTAATTTTAGGAAATGTTATATTATTGTTTAGGTTTCAAATACTGGAGATATCTCTGTCGAATATAGGATAAGTGACTACTTTCAGAGAAACTGGTTCATCTCTGTAAGGAAGCAAGAGGCACAGCAAATGGAACTTAATTAGGAGGAAAGAGTGGCTTACAGGATTCATGGACACAGAAAGAGCAAAAATCCATAGGTCAAACAGCAGAGCCATGGGAAGTCCCCTGCCAAGGTTAGATAGAATACGGTAGATCTATGCAGAAACTCTCTGGACTAATTACAGGTCTCTGAAAAGCTTCAGAAGCTCCTTAGAGAGGGTAACAAAAGTGGGTAACAGAAGCTGTATACAGTGATTCTCATGCAAGCAATTCATAGAACCATAGAAAGGCTTGGGTTGGAAAGGACCATAGAGATCATCTAGTTCCAATCTGCCCATACCATGAGATTCCACTCACTAGATCAGTTTGCTCAGGGCACTGTAAAACCTGGTCTTGAACACCTCCAGGGATGGGGCATCCACAACCTCTCTGGGCAACCTGTTCCAGTGCCTCTCTACCTTCTGAGTAAAGAATTTCTTCCTAACCTCTAACCTAAATTTCTCCTCTTTTAGTTTAAAACCATTTCCCCTTGTCCCATCACTGTCTGCCCATGCAAAAAGTCACTCTCCTTTCTCATAAGCTTCCCTTTAAGTAATAAAAGGCTGCAATGACGTCTCCCCAGAGTTTTCTCTTCCCCAGGCCTGTCTTCTTAGAAGAGCTGCTCCAGCTCTCCAGCCATCTCCATGGTCCTCCTCTGGACCTGCTCTAACAGGTCCATGTCCTTCCTGTGCTGAGGACCCCAGAGCTGGATGCAGCACTCCAGGTGGGGTCTCACAAGGGCAGAGCAGAGAGGGGTTAAGAAGCTATCTCTGTGCATTAGATAAGACATTAAAGAGGCTTCAGGAAAGATCACCTCTCTGTCCAGCTGCGGCAGCAATACAGAAATGACACCGGTGTCACCATGTAAAGAAAATGCTGGAGTAATTGGTGGATTTTGTGACACAATGCGGTATTTCAATGTAGTATGCAGAGTATAAGGCTCATCTCTGTCCTCTGCAGTCACTTGTCCAACAACAACACCTGTAAACACAATACAGGAATTTTTAGTTCCAGAAAAATCTGCATATAATAAAAAAACCTATTTGAACAGGTATTTCTGTTTTAAACACATGAAAATAACTACTTGGTCATTTAGCTATAAAATAAAATAATATTTAAAACACAGTAAATAGCAGTAAAAAAACAGTATTAGTGTAAAATTATCTAATTTAACCCTCCGGGTATTTTTTTGCCTTCTTAGACAAAGTTGTGATTATTGCAGCTGTCAGAAAGAACAATCCAAAGAAACACTGAAAGTTTACATTTCAGTTAGTGTTTTTGACAGTGACTTCTAATTGAGCATCTCTAAAACAGTTGGAAAGGTGTTGCCGGGGGATGGACGAGGAGGTTCAGGAGCTTTCTGACCTGATTCAAACACTGCTATACCTCCTCCCCACAGCCCCACTGGTTTTGGAACTTCACTTTAAATCAGTAACTCACACAGTAAGAAGTAAAGCAGCTCAGAGAACGAAATGCAAGTGGTTTTTTGGGGTGACGGGGAAGACACTTTGTTTCCTTTTTTGTGAAGCAAGTTAGACTTTCCCCACCCTACAGCCCTACCCTAGGAGATGGGTGAGGAATGGCAATCCATGGCTTTCACATTCCTTATTGTCTGGGGTCCACCTTTCTTCTCCCTGCTTTTGTTGCCTGTTACACAGACACATAAAGCCAGTAACAGGCAAATCCCAGCCTTTTACAGCTATGGGCAGAAGCAAGACTTTCTCCACCTCTCCCAGGAAAAGTCTCACCTTAGTTCATTAGCTTGGACAAACGCTGCAAGCTTAACCAAAGGCATTTTACACCTTAGAATACCGCCTTTTTAGTTATTTAGGAAACTTCTAAAAACTTTTCAGGGAAACAGATTTTTTGTATAAAATAAAAATAATAATGTTCTGAAATTCTTACACCATTTCAGAACACTGAATTATCTCAGTTTTTAAAAATTTCTTTTAACAATATTTTTCACTATGATGGAGATGACATTTTGGAATTTCTAATAATTAAGAAATCTTGAGCTGCTCTTTGCAAATTCAGTCTCTGCTGTAACAAAATACTCCTCAGGAAATCTCATTGAAATTCATTAAAAGGCTGAGTAGTGGTGTGTTCACAGATTTAAAACAATTCTTACCAGGCTTGGAATTTTCAGGGACACAAAACTCAAACAGATCTCGTGTAAAATATGGAGCATTATCATTATCATCTTCTATCCTGATTGTATGCACAAGTGGTACTTCTGGTGAATAACCATCTGGAGTGGTTGCAAAGCAAATGATCTGGAGGATGTAAATTCAGTGCTTAAGCAACAGGCAGTATTATTACACTTTTACTTCAATGAAAGAGCCAATAAAATAAAATACAATGTGAACAGCATACCCTTTTCAAGACCAGGCTCTTCAGACACATGGAAGGGAAAGTGACAGGTATCTCAGAGTGACAGCAACACAAAACCTTTAAATGCTTCTAATCTTCCCCCCTTCCATTCCTCACACTACAAATATTTGAATCACTTTCTTCCTGACATCCCCCCAACTCTATCAAAGACTTTTTCCAAACCTCTTGAACACATTTTTTTCCGGGTGTTTATGAGGCAGTCTCAGGGTTACCAGAATTTATACACAAATATTGCTATTTAAAGCAAAACCAAGAATGACAGCAATTTGCCCATTATAACATTATCCAATAAAATGCAGTGAAATTACCTAACTAGAAGGGGTTTCTACTAATTGCCTTCTTACACTTCTCAGCCAGTAGAGAGAGCAGTGTACCTTGTTAACAAAATATCAGAACTGAGCAGCTTGAGAGAGACTCAAAAAACCACAGCTGTCTAGTGTTTATAATTATGTTGAGTTTTGTAGACCTTTTCAACCTCCCCTTAAAAACTCTTCCTAAAAGTGAGGACCCTACCTTTATGCTGTAATTAGTCTAAGCAGTGAAAAGCAAAACTATTCTCAAAGTCTAGATGACCAGCTATTTTGGTCACTGATTTCATCTCTTCAACACCAAGGATATTACTCAGAACAAAGAGCTGATTCCACATCTTGTCTGCTGCTAGTTTCCCCTGTAACCCAGCTGTCAAATAAATGTATGACAGAAAGAAAAAAAAAAGTAATCATATTTACACAACTTAGGTCTGTACCTGAAAGCTTGGATATTGTTCCCGGTCTACTGCACGAGTAGCAAAGATATTTCCAGTTTCTCTTTCTATGTAAAATAAACCCTTTGGATCTTGATCAATTCCTGGTCCACTTGCAGAATAATAAATTGTGTAGTTCTGAGCTGTGTCTGACTGGACCTATAAGAAGATGTTTTTAAGCCCAAGCAAAAACAGCAGGATCATTTTAATACATTTCCCCCTTTTCATTATCACGTTTAGCACAAACAGGATTTCTTAAAAAAAAAAAACCACCAAACTTGATTTACTTCCGTAGCAGCTTAAATTTCACAGAATAGGAGAACAGTCTGCCATGTAACTGCCTTCCTTTATAATGTGTGTACATGAGAAGGGGAGTTAATTCATAAAACTCATAAATGTTTAGAACTATCAAACAATTAAAGAAATGACAGTATGCAAAAAAAAAAAAAATTTGAAATCTAATCTCTCTAGAATACTGCATATACGAGGCACATCCTTGTCCTGATCAAGAGATTTTACTTTTATTGCATTCATTGAGAATGAGTTGGTTTGCAACTAGAGAAGAAAAAGTGGAGGAAGCAGAGAGAGGAGGAAGGAAGACGACCTAGAGTATAGTCCAGACATATGCCAATTCAGACAGCTTCTCTGCATCTCATTACAAGCACTAAGGAGGTAACATTAGTTATCTATTTATAAATACTCTTCTACAAAAATACTTTCCTTACCTACTGGATGCCAGAAGTTAGGAAGGTAAGATTAGAAGAATGATTGCTCTGCACAGACTCTGTTATTACGCTTGTCTACACATCTGCTCCCAGCCACTCTGTAATCTAGAGAAGGCTAGATAGATCTATGATAACTTCAGTTCTTTCATTTCTCTTTCACGCCTACTTGTTTTCTTCCAGTAAGTACTGTTCCGAACAACGCAGGCCATATTCAGTCTTCAAGGCTGAAGGCATACACCTCAAGCTCCAGAAAGGATGAAGACATGCAGATAAAATTTACCCCAGTCTGTGTTTACAAAACCTCTTTCTGGGCAACGTTTAGTGGAGGGTTGTTTGTTGTTGTTTTTTTTTGTAATTATACACTTCACTGATTTCCAGGACAAAAGAGCTCTCTTTGATAGTATGCTGCTCTCCTTTTTTTCAACTCTTGCACAATTCCAGTTCGCTCCAACAACTATGATCACAAGTTATCTCAGCTACAAGACCATGACATATACAATGAACAGGACAGAACAAGACAGAGGAGTAATAGCAGGAACATCAGTAGGGAACACAAGACAGCTCATTTTCTTCTTCATCATCAAAGTCACATAAAAAACTAGCTTGGGACATAAAATTGGGGGTTGTATAAAATGTACCTGTTGAATTTGTAGAGGAAAAGGTCCCAGTGAGTTCTCTATCATAACGGATGGAATAGGGCCCCACCTTCTTTTGGTTCGCTTGAGAACTGTATCTCTAGCATGCCTGGTCTTCTGTGTCTGGGTCTAGGAGATAAAAAGACAGATAAGAATATATCCATTTATTCTTAACCATGTATATTTTCGTTTAACTGCTGTCTTGTGTCTCCATCTTCCCCCGCCCCTGCTGCAGTCCTCCTACTGATCCTTTTTTTTTTTCCAAGGTCTTAATTTCTGATTATACCTATGATAGTATTCCAAGTTTTTTCATTTGTTGTAATACTTTACATGAATAAAATCTGCTTTAATTCCTCAAACATGGCTTTTAAGATTCTTGACATTCCTGATTAAGCTACTTGCTAGTATCTCCCCTTTGAGAAAAGCAATCTGCTGACTTAAGAAACCCAGTAATCAACATCTGCTAAATAAAATTACACTCTGTACCAGTATTTTGCCCTATTATTTGAATTCCAAAAGTCAACTACAGTTACCCAGCATGAAGCTGTACTCTGTGAAACAGAATTTCAAATAAGTAAGGTATCTTGAAATCAGAAGCTCACCTTCTTTTCTTCTTCCACTAAGCTAACATGTATTTTCTTTTCAACTTGTTCTTGAATGTCTTTAAGTAATATGGTAAAAGTTTTTTTCTCAGCAGACAAAGAAAGAGCAGATGTTGTGTACACAGAACCATCCTCTAGAATCTTGAAGTTCCCATCAGTGGTACTGATAAACTCTGCAGACTGAAGGCATTCTTTCAAATCAACTACAAGAAAAATGGACAATAACTCAAACACAAAAAAATAACATCCTCATAAAACAACAAAACGTGCCCCAAGTAAAAATTACATTTACTGACAGAGTCTTCAAGTATTTGTTCATTCAGTATTTAAGCACCACAAATACAGATTCTAGAACCCATGTATGCACTCAGATTTGACCCAGTTTACATTAATTTCCACCCTTGTGTTCACAAGTGGCTCCTAAAAAACATCGGTGCATTATATCTCTCAACAAAACACTATTACATTGGTAAAAGTACTGAAGCATCGGAGATGAATTAATACATTTAAATGCAAAAAACATTGTAGACATGTCCATTATTGATCAGTAGCTATTACAGTTGCCTTGTGCTCCATGCCCTACAATATCAGTGAAGACGATTAATTAATGCAAATACCCAATGGAGACGTTACATCTTGGAAGTTTCGCCCTCGGGAGGAAAGCACTGACTGGTACTGCGTGATTTAATAGTCTTGGGAGGACAAAGGCCTTTAAATTATGAGGCAGACAGATGGGAGAGATAAAGACTAACTCTAGAACAAACTATTAGCAAATTTTTAATATGTATGTGATAGAATCCCAGGTTTATAGAAAGTACCAGGTAATTTTAGCATACTTCCAAGATATTTTTCACTGCATTTGCTATCACTTGTGGCTAAAATAAATTCTTACACGCTGCAATAAACTTGGTTTACCAGCAAGTAATTCAGTATTACAGCTGGAGAAAAATCAGGATACTTCCAATGAATTGCAATAGGACCACAGCACTAAGCAAGAATGATTTGGCACCTTGAAAAAGATGGAAGCCAGAGACCAAACTCCAGACAAATGAAACTTGCTGAGTACAAGAGATCTCAGTGTCATGTTCTCCAAATCAGAACTTTTCAATACTTCTTCAATGTTATCATAGTGAATGGGACACTACTCTATCAAGGCTGATTGCAAAATTCCCAAAGTAGACTCAGAATTTCATCCCATATATGCAGATGATATTTTCAATAAACTATATTCCATTTCTCTTTCAAAACTGCAAGGACAGATATGAAGTATAATTTTAAATATGATATGATTTCTTCTTTCTCTAAAGTTTGACCTTTATCTGTTTAAGTAAATATTTGCTACACTTTCTATGGTACTGTAGCAGTGACTCCTGTCCTTTTTCACCTATACAGTGAAAATGCAGTATTGAAAATAGCACTGCCTTACTTAAATGTGTTTCATACTGCTGCATATTACATCACTGCATTTTCAAAAATACCAGACTGAAGATTTTGTTTCTGATGGTTATATGAGTCAACACTACGTTCAGTTAGCTATAGCTTTGTGGCATTTTTTTTTAAAGCCTCTGATCTAAGTTAAAAGTATCAAAAAATCTTACAACAATCAGGAAAATCCTGACTGATTTCACTGTCAAGATATAGTCCTTGTATAAATGGAAAATACTTCTCAATAAATGTTTACGTAATGTCATTTGAGCTATAATGGTTTTGTTAAATGTTTGGGTGAAAAAAAAAGTTTAAGTTGAATGCTATGCAATTTATTTCAAAGCAGTGCAATAACATGAAGTTTTATTTTTATATAAATCCAAGTTTATTTACACAGAGAAATGTTGAAGTCTATGAGAATTCACACAGCTATAGCAAGCTTCTTCATTTAAAAATTTAAAAATAAGGTCAATGAATTTCCACTATACAGCTAGATTTTCTGAGCACTTGCATTGTGATGAACTACCAATCCACTTATTATTTATATATTATCCTTCTTTAGGAATGTGGATTAAGATTGCAGAGTTGCAGCATATTCCTCTGTTGTGGTAGGACTCATAAAGGGCACCTCTGAATCCTCAAACTCAGTCTCAGGCACAACAGAACCCTGTAGCAGTTCCTACGCCACACCTTTTAAAGCTGCCTTTCAAAGACTGGTCTGAAAAAAAAAAAAAAAAAAAAGAGTGGGGTGTTTTCTGGTCTCTCCTATTCCTCTCAGTCACCTGTACACTGCTCTAAATCAAGACAGACCGACCAGTCAGACAGGAGCATTCTCCAGTCAGATACGATGCAGGACACCTCTGCAACACATCCCCTTGTATGCCCTGAATGCTCCAGCACTGCTGAGCAGTCACATCCACGTTTCACAGAGCAACAGCTTCTTGGTGCCTGGTTATGTGGGTTTTGTCTTCTTTTTTTATCTTTTCCATTGTCCAAATGACTTACTGTCTTCTTCATATGACTGTGGGTGAGGGGTGCACCTTGAAATACCAAGCCACTTATTTGAATACTAAGCCTTAGACTCCACATTTTGAAAACATTAAACTCTGGCATTTTAGTTTTAGGATAAATACTGTAACCTAACAATAGCTGTTTACGCAAAAGTCAAGTGGATGCACAGAGCCAGTGTTCAAATCCGTAACAAACACAGGGCGTATCCTTCATAAAAAGGCTGATCCAGCTGCTTAACTGGCTGTCCAGTCATCCATTCATTCCATTAAAAAAGTCTCCTCCACTGTTCATAGCATCTCCAGCAAAGGTGCAATGTTGTGTTGTTAAGATGGGCATCTCACAGTTTCTCACCTCTGCCAACTAATGTGTCAGCCTCTAGTTCAGAAGGAACATGAAAAATTACTTTCTTGCAAGCTTCACAGCACAAACTCAGTACCTAGAAAACAAATTAAGAAATCAGGAGAAAAACCCATTTAATTATGTGATATTTTGAATAATAACTAGACAGTAAAGTTGACTTTGTTAAGACAAGCAAGTCAAACAGCACAGAAAGCACTCCTTGCTAAAAAAATTGGGTACTGTGCAGCATAGCATACAAAGTTTCAAACCGGAAACAAGGTCTGACTACTGCTCCTGGATTTGTCCGTGGTTTGTGTTCAGTTTTTTTTCTAAAATCACTGCAGCACCGACATTAACACCAAGAGTTTCTTTTAACTAGAAAATTTCACCTTTAGTAGAGGAAAGATAAAACACAGCTCCCCCATGCACTCCCTCCAACAGTATTCCTGGCCAATTTAGATCCAAGGTCTCTAAGTATTAAGGTTTAATCCATCAACACGCAGTTTGGTAGAACTCTAGTGATGCTGAACATTAAAGGGACAAGCGTCTTATTAAAACCACATGACGACACTTGCACTTACATATCACTTTGCATCTTCAAAGTACATTCTCAACAAACTAATTAAATCTAGCTTCAGCAATTAGATATGACATAAAACGTCAAGTATTACAGCAGTCCACTCCCATATAACCAGTTACAAAATGGGGTCCTCCTCAAAATTCAAATGAGTAGTAGATAACCAGACCTTTTTCTAAAAAGAATCACACAGAGGTACAAACATTTTCCTCAGCACAGAGCAAGTGAGTCCTGATCTCAGATCATATGTGTGAATATTTTGCCTAGTTTCTATCCCTATGTTTAAAATTGTAATCCAAAAATCACATAGTCAATTAAACAAAGAAATAGAGGAATGTAAATACATCTATCCACCCTTTTTTGTGCATTTATTCTTTCAGGATGAAAGTCTAGCAAAAAAGGAAAACAATTTTTATTTTGCACATTCCTTTGGGATTAAAGGTATAAAGAAGTAAATAGCTAATTGAAATTCTGAAAATTAATTGTGATGCTTATTAAGAAAACATTTGAATAAATGTTTTAAATAAATTAAATAAATAAAATACTTTAAACACTTTAAGACATTAGGAATCTTTAGAAAAACTCTAAGCAGCTAAAAACAATATATGCTGTGTCTGCACCGTAAGAGCTCTTCATACAGTTCCTTATAGATATGTATATATGCAGATATAAAAATATGTGTACATACAAATAAACATCTCTGCTTACGTATTAGTAGGCACTTTCCTTAGTAATAGGCACTTAATAAAACACTCTCTCCTGAGCGACACTACGTGAATTTTTAAGTTATGGAAATCATATCTTATTACACTGTTCTAAAATATTTTAAGAATCAATGACATCTAATTTTGAAATAGTAATGCCAAGCTCAGTCTGATGTCAGCACAAAGAACAGTAAGTTAAACAAAAGTAAGTGGTAGTTATTCACGGACATAAAGACGTAAGGAAATATCAGGTAAAAAGAAGCTGTGATGTCCTTTATACAAAGAAGACACCTCAGGATTTTTTTTCTTTGGGTGTTTTTTTTTCTGCTTAACAGGAGAATTTTTTTTTTTAATTAAATATATGAGTAAAGTTGCTTGCATTTCTTCGGGTTTTGCTATTAATATCCTTGCAAAGGCAGGCATGCATAGTGTCTGGAATAGTAACACTTTCATTAAAATATACATACGTAATTAATATAAAACTAATAAATTCAGTGCTTCACCACTACCAAGTATTTTTCTTTCACAGGCTCAAATGATCACCTGCCCGCTTTTTGCGAATAGAATGATAATAGGGAGAAAAGGGGGTAAGAAACAAAAGAAAAATCACTTTTATTCATCCACTGTAGGTTAAAAAAAGAAAAAAAAAGAAAATGAGCGAGAGAACTCCCCGGCTTTCCCCGGCAATGGCCTTTCCGGAGCTGGTAATTATGCACAAATACAATAAACTGAAGGTAAAGGAAATCGCTGAAATTGTTCGATGCACAGCTAACTCTTCCCGAGGAGCTCAACACGCTCCCCACTGTGGCACAATCCTTCCCATGGAAAAAGGACAACCGGGTGGGGAGAGGCAGAGGGGGGACATCTAAATAAAACCAACCGCGGTTTAATTTTTTCTATGAATAACCAGCCGCAGCGACCCGAGCGTGTGCCCGTCGCGTAACCTCACGGTCCAAAAGCCACCCGACCCGACCCGACCTGTCCCAAAGCGAACGCCGCAACCCGCCGGTTTCCTCCCTGCGCCGAAGACCCCCGAGGTGCGCCCCGGGGCCGCACAGCCTCCGCGCTGCTCCGCGACCCCGGCAAGGACCGCGCCGAGGGGAAAGCTGGTTTGGAATAAAGAGCCCGGCAGAGACCACCAGCTCAGAAGTCTGTCCTGGCGCTGCACACCCGCAGCGGAGCAGTCACAGCGCGGAGGGAAGGCGCGGCGGCGCGGCCAGGTGAGTGAGCGGCCGGAGCCCTGCGCTCCCCGCGGCGCCCTCCCACCCACCCACTACCTCCTCTCCCTCACTCACCAGGAGGCCGAGGACGAGGCGGGGGGCTGCGGGGGCCATGGTGCGCGGGGCTGCGCGGGAAAGGGGGATCCGCCGCCGTCGGTGTTGCTACGGCGGGCGAGGGAGCGAGTGCGAAGAGCCGGAGGAGGTGGAGGCGGAGGTGGCGGCGTGTCTCCGCGGCAGCCCGTCTCTGCTGTCCCCTCCCGTCTGCCAGAGGAGCCGGCCGGTGGGGAGGGTGGGACCGCGCGCGGCAGCGGCGACTTTAATTACTCCTTCGGGTTTTTTTTTTCCGCCTTTTGGGTAATGCCCGTCCCGGGCTCGGCTCTGGGACACCCCGCCCGCCCGCCGCCCACCTCCGCGGCCAGGCGCTGTCTCTCCCCTCCCCTCTCCTCCCCACGCCACCCCGCCCCGCCGCGGCGCTGGCTGCGCGCACAGCGGAGCGGGGCCGCGCCCGGGGAAGCTCTGCCCCCCGCCCCAGCGTGCCGCTCCTGGGCGCGGCACCCGCCCCTCCCTTCTCCCTTCTCTTCTCTCTTCCCTTCTGCTTTCCTTTCCCCTCCCTGCCAGGCCGCGCCCCGCGGGGCGTAGGTTCCGCGCGGGCGGGTCCCGTCCCGCTGGGACGGCTCCAGGCTGCGGCCGCCATGTCGCAGGCACTGCCGGGTGGTGACTGCGAGCAAAGTTTCGGCTTTTCAGCGGAATTTCTTCTTCTCGGCACGGTTGTGCTGGTCCGAATGAGGCCGCGGGTCCTCACCTGTGGCTCCTGGGTTTCGGAGTGGCTCGGGTGAATCAAGGCCGAAGTAACAATAACAAGCGCAGAGTGGCAGGTTGCACACACAGAAGGTGGGCTTCCCATGGGAACAGCCTGCACTCAAAGACCTTTCAGCCTGAAGCAAGGTGTAATGTTTCTAGCTTTTGTTCCACGCTCTGCTTCAGAAGCAACTATTACCGAATTGTAGCTTTCTTATCAGCCAGTCACAAAGCACTTCAAAAAGAAGATCAAGTGGATTGGTAGCTACATTGCAATATTTCTTTACTTATGTTTACATTGAAATGCACAAGTAAGAAGCAAAAATTCCCCAAAGTCCTGTCTTTTTCTTACAATTTCACGTAAATGAGGGTGATCAGTGACTTGTTGCATCTGAAAGTGTGAGACATTCACTGCTGGACGTCACCAGTAGTGATTGTAGGTGGCAAGAAAGGGAGAGGTGAAACCATGGGGCGGTTGTAGTGGGACGTGCACATTTGTGTGGGCATAAGAATGCTAGAATGTCTAAAAACACGGCCATGCCCCCATTCTAGTCATGTGGGCAATCCATAGAGGTGTGTGTCCGATTGATTGGTTACACATGAGTGCATTCTGGGCCCACTGTGATAACCTGTGGTAACCTACGGTGACCTGCGATAACATTCACAACTATGTGCTGCAGAACCTCATGGCATGTTGGTGTCGTAGGCTGGCTCTGCTGATGGTTGCACCATAAACATAATAACATTGCACCGAATTCCATCACACAGACTCAGTGGGACCAGAGGAAAAAAGGGCAGTAATGTTTTATTTTTTTGTTATAACTGGTAAAGCGCAATTTGTCTTAAGAAGCAACCCCACATCCCCGGCTGTCAGTTACCTTCACCTGGCATGTCCCACTTCAGGTGTTCATATATGCACACGGTAAGACCCTACAGTCCCCTGCAGCTGCACCAGACCCTTCACTTTGCCATAGTGGGGTTTGCAGCCTGGTGGGAAGCACAGGGCCTAATTTCTAACTATTTTAATTCGTTATGCTCCATTCAAGCAATTGTGGACATAGAAAAGGAATGAACTGTCTGGACCTGCAATAATTTCCATCCAAACCTAATAAGCCATAATACTAACCTTGTGGTAAAAACTTCATTTTTAAGCTTTTTAATTCTTTATTTAGTGTCAGTGTGGGACAAACCCACATCTGTCAGAATAGATGCCTAGAGTGGGTTGACCCAGACTGTCTCTTTCAAAGCCCTAATTAACAATCTTAAAAGTCTGGCCTGGCTTCGTACCACTCGTGTTTTCCTCCTCCTACATGCCCATCAGCATTTGCAGTAACACATTGGACCCCTACACTGAATGCAATGCTGCTGCTGTGGTTGCAAGAAGCCTGCAGGAGTTCACGGGGAGACAGGGCAAATACGGGCAGGAATAGTAACGAGATGGGATCATGGTACCCTCAGCCCAAGGCTGTTGGAAGTGTCAGCTGGCAGCCTTATTCTTTCTTACTTTTCCTGGTTGTTGGCTTACAGACACAGCTGGAGAAAGCACACTGGGCTGGATAGGCCATTGCCTCTGACACAACATGGTTTGTCTCTTGTGTACTCCTGTGCTACCAAGATGTTCTCCCAGAAAGTCTTGAGCCTTCCTTAGTGTCAGTTGCATCAAAGTTGCTCTGCTGTTCAAAAATCCATTTGGAAATTCCACCTGAGTGAGTAAATGCCATTTCGTCGCAGCACTTTTTAGAGTCATTCACACCTTCTTCATCACCAGGAAGCATTTGTACAGCAGAGAGGTATTTGAAAATGGGCTGGCCTGCTCATCGGAAGAGTTATGTTGTGTAACTGCAGTAAATCCCTGCCCTATATGCTGTGTATCCGTGAGCTTACAGACAGATTTCAAGGCTTTTGTTTGATCGTGAGGAACCTCTCATGGCTAGAGGTCTAAGTTAACTTTCTTCCCTTCCCGTGCTTTTGACCATTGGCGTGCATGGATATGCTTATATTTGAAATTCCCATGAGTGCATTCTTAGGTCTAGAGCCAAGCAATAAAAATGTAAGGGGGAAAAGCATTTCTTTTGTCATGCTGCTTTGGGCACAGAGACCCTACAAATTTCCACAACAGAGTCACGTAATTGCAGTTTTAAGTAAAACTCCAACAGTTTTAAGTAAAGCTTTTATAGCATTGATATGCATGATAGTCTTGGGGGAAAAAAAATCTAACAAGAAAAAACCTTACCTGTAATTTGATTATCTTATAGCCCACTTGGTATATGGGATTATTAAATGGTAGGCTCGGTGACCACATGAATACATATGAAATATTGGAGAAGAGTTAGCGTGGCTTTTGTAGAGGGAAGTTATATCTTAAAAATCAACCATAGTGTAATGCTGGACTCAATAAGCATATTGGTAAGTTTCACCTATTCAGTCAGTGCAGGAAAGTTCCAAACGTTTGATGAAGCCTATCACCAAAAAAAAAAATCCTCAATTAAAATTGCAATAGAAGGAGAGGTTTTGCTGTGATCATAGGCGGTTTTAAATGGGGAAAAGAAGAATTATGGAAGTTGTGTTGTAGGAGAGGTTGACAGCTGGAACCTGACCATCTATTCATAAAGATGTGGGGAAGGAGATTAATAGTAACACAGTAACAATGAAGAATTCATGTTCATGACAGCCATATCTAAGGCTAACTACCCAAAGTTACACAAGAATTTTACCATATTGAGTGAGCAGGTGCAGAATTGATAGCTGAAATTTTAAATTAATGTAACAATGGAAAGATTAACTAAAGTTAATTAAAGAATTTCAGGCTCTAGCCTAGCTGCTACCTCAGTGAGAATACATTTGAGATAGTTCTCTGCAAATATCTTGAGCTCATTGACCAATGTCAATCTAAGGGAAATAAACCAGCAGTAATTATTTTGAAAGAAACAACATAAACTTCTTCATGTTTAATTTTTTATATTCTCTATAAGGACATGTACAAAAAAAAGCAACACGAGAAGACTGTAGTTATGAGGACTAAGTTGAGCAGGATTCTTGAGCTTGGGAAAAAGAAAGGGTATGGTTACACAATTGGTAGCAATACAGAGAAGATGAGCTGGGAAGGACTGCTTACTGTTTCTCATAATCTAAATATCAGAATAATTAGACTGTGGATATTAAAAGCAGTTCTAACTTTGGTTCAGAGAGTTCTTAAATGCTTATGGTTGGAACCTGTATATCTTATATGCCTTTATTGATAGGAAGAATCATTCAATAATTTATGATTTCTAGTCTTTTTCTGTAAAAATCACCTATTTTCTACTGCTGCAACAGCAAACTATTGAGGTAGAAGGGCAAACCAGTCCTTACTGCTTCCTTAGGTAGTTCAGAGTACTTTCCTGTCTGTCTGTGCTCAGTTCCTCACAACACATGAAGCAATGTAATACCAACAAAGGATTTGGAAAACATAGAAGCCACTTTTCCCCATGCAGCGGGATGGTGCAACCATTGCTATTCAAGCCACTAAGAACGTGCCGCCAGATATTTATGCTGGAAGCATCCTTGGATGTGAAATTTGCTTTCTTGGTAGGTCATCTCAGAAGATAGAGGCACAGCATGTATTTTGGCCAGGGGTTCCTGTTACTGTACATTGTTAATAAAATGTGCAAAATGTGCTTAATTTAGGTCAGGCATTCTAATTACCTTAAGAGTGCCTGAACAATAAACAACAATGACCCTTACTGAGAAACTAATTAGCTTTGAAAATTTGGCTTTCTTAATCATCAAAGAGGATGGGTTAAAGCTCATTTTTAATTTAGAGAATAATTATTATCAGTGGTCTGAAGCTTTACACATTACTCATTCCCACAGGAGGGTTGGATTGAATAAGACACTGGAGTCTACAGCCTCACACTTTTGTGCTTCTCTTTTTCTCATAAGAAAATGCAAGCCTACTCTGAAATTTAAGATTAAATCTCCAATTTTGAAATTGTTTTCATTTAAATGTATATCTAAATTTTAGTTTATATCAGTTTTACATCACAGAATAATAAAATGCACCTTCTGTACTTAGGCAAGCTTTTTTTGTTTGCACTTAGTAATTCTCATTATTATTCTTATATGACAACCACTATTTGCTTAGCAAAAGGTGCAGTTTTTGTCATCTGAGTGTACCTCTTGTCACAGCAGATCTTGATTTTCATATGCTTTTTCAAATGGGGAAATAATCAGATATTTCATTGTGCAATTTCAAACAAATGCTAGATAATTTCTTTCTTTGCTATTAAAGTATATATGCCTCCAAATCTTTATATTAAAAGATCTTTCCAGGAATTTAAACATTATATTAAATAGTTTTTGTTTTAATAAAATAATTTTATATACAGATAATCAATCTTGAATTTAAATTGAAATAATCAATTTACTATTTCATGGGCATATTTAACACTTGGGTACAAAACTGTCTCTTCAGGTAAAAAACCATATATCAGTTTATTTAGTCGATTTATTTGGAAGTGAGGATCCAGAATTCAGCCATAAGAGTCAAAATATA